GCCAAAATCCATCTCAAGCGAGAGTACAAACTATTTTGCGATTTTGAGGGAGCTTTTTTTTCCATTTCCATCAATGTTCAACCCCTAAGCTTACAGAGCCAGGGGCGCAGTAACCTCTGTTTCACATTACAGAAAATACTTGAGGCCAATCCCAGGTACAGTGCAATGCAACACAGCCATCAGTATGTTTGATCATTTTCGAAAGGAAAAATCACCAAAACAACCACAAGCTGAATGACATTTCATACTTGAAATCTTTGTAAGCCAAAGCCTTATTCACAGTTTTTAGTGGCTATTCACACAGTTTCTACCTACTCCTGTTTTTCTCCTTCCTTTTATTTGCTGCTGTTTTCTTTCTTCTTAATTATTATTTTTTTAATCTTCTGTTATTTCTTTTTATGATCTGAGGTATGATTTTCCTTGCTCCTTTACAGTTTTAATTTTGAATTTTGTTCTTTTTTATATTTTTATGTTCCGGAATTAAAATGCCCTGGGGCAGTAAAATGTGTTCCTAATAATATGAAAGCAGATTAATAAATAATTTTAAAACATTTTAATTAACATGTGCCTAAGACATTTATTTCACGTTAATTCATGTCCAGAAATTATTTTACAATATTAGCAATGTGTCAATTCAACATGTTACATATAGGCTACATGTAAATATTGTTTTCTTTATGTGAAAATTTTTCTAAATATAACCTTCAATCCCAAGTCTAAGATTTTAGACTTGGGACTGAAGGCTGTTAGAGCAGTTTTTGTCATGGTCTTGGTTCTGCTGTTCTTTTCTTTGCTCCTTGTTTTCTAGATTTATTGGCCTAATTCCAGTTTTGTTGTATTTCTAGATTTATATTAGTTCTCATGTTTTTCTGTTGTCCTCTTTTGCCCTCTTGTGTGTGTGTGTTCCTTTCCCCTTGGCTCCCTCGTTGTCTCCTCTCACACCTGTTCCTTGTCTGCTCGTTAGCCCTCCCTTTGTCTCTCTCTGCTATATATGCTCTCCCTCTGCTCTCACTCTTTGTTGGTTCCTTGTCTTTGCTGTCCTCCCATGCTGTTGTCCACGTTCCTCGTCTCTCCCTGGCTCCTCGTGTTTGGTTTTCCCCAGATGTCTTCTCAGTTCTGGTTTGCCTTTCATTATTAGTTGGATTTTTGGATTCCTGCCTTTGTTTACTGTTTTGCCCCATTAAAACCCCCAGAAATCTCCTCAGCCTCTCTGCCTCTGCATTTGGGTCCTCCAAACCACAACCAAACCCTGACAGTTTTTAGTTAAAAGGTGAAACAAAAAAATAGTAGTCCAGCCATTTAGCATCCCCCAAAAAACACTGTCAGATTTGATTTCAATACTATCAAAATGTTGATTTTTGTCCAAACCAGAGTGTGATAATTGTACTCTTCTTATATAAGTTCGTACCTCAACTCTACCTTGGTGTTAAATATTAATTCGCTCTGTAGTTAATAATGTAGCACTAACATACGACTAGGTATTAGAATTAAAATATTAACTCTCTCAGAGAGGATTTTTTTTTTACTACTTAAGAGTTATCCTCTAATTAATACTAAATGCTAAAATGTTTCTGAGCGCTTAAAAATTCCTTGAGGAAAGAAAATTAGAAAAGGAAGCTTTTTTTTTTTTAGAACTGTACTTATTTCACAATATACACAAATACTTTCTTAAAACATTTAACAATGTAGAACATTGTACATGCTTTCACTTTGATGAGAATATTACCTATCGTAATGATTTAGATTAGCTTGTCAATGCAAATAACAGCATGCTCATAGTTTTTTGTTCTTAAATATAGTATGGATGAAAGTGTTCATTAAAGTAAGAGGTGTTGACAGTATAGCCTATAATGAATGCATGCTGTTCATCTATTATAATATGGAAAATTTTCTTAAACAAGGATAGATCACTAGACACTCCAGTACATAAAAACGGTCTAACTGGGTATTTGGTGCAATCATTTTCTACCCAATTTGTAGTTTAAAAATTTAGGACACAAAACCACATTTAATGTCTCGGACAGTAGATGTCCACCTTCTAAGCCATGCGCAATTCATGATTTTAAAGGACCATACTCAAACATTTTAAAACAACAGTTTTCATTACCTACTGTAGGGCCGATTGACACTGATAAAGCTTTACAAGTGATTTTGTAAGATGTTTTATATTTTGATAGACGTCTTTAAAAACTGCACTTTGCTTCATTACATGCACACCAAAGATAAATAAGAAGGCAGAATTGCTCATTGGATGGAGAATCTGGAGGTGCTCAGGAATTATTTTCTTATCAGGGAACATGTTTTTATGGCAGTCGCAGTTTAGATCTTACAAAGAACATGTAAAGCCATCAAAAAGGACTAAGAACAACACAATGTTAACAATCTGCAATCACATGAGAACTACCGTATTTTCACGACTATAAGGCGCACTTAAACGTCTTTTTTTTCCCTCAAAATGTGCAGTGCGCCCTATGGTGCGGTGCGCCCTATGTGTGTTGTAACTGCGACTTTTGAGACCACCTCATTGAGGAGATGATGAAAGAGTGGCTGAATGTAAGGAGACCAGGTGTTTTATTTCCACTCATCACCATCGTTGTTAATATGTAACTCCATGCGTGCCCATCTCACAGCTGATGTGAAAAACATGGGGAAACAAATTAACGCTGTGCTCGCTGTTCAACCGCTCGACATTGGTGTGAACCGGACCCAGCAGGTGCAGCAGAAGCAGCGAGTTTACATGCAAAGTAAACGGTTGACGCGCGCAAGGTGCAGCAAAAGGTCCTGCAGCGCGTTTTGAGCAGCAGGAGCGTTTAAGCATCTGCCAACGCGCTGCTGCTGCTCGAGATGGAAAAATTGAAGTTTTGCTGCTGGACGCGCCGCATCAACCAATCAGAGAAGCTGATCTGGGAGCTGACAGCGAGACAGACACAGCGCTCTGATGACATATGATATTAACGCAAATGGAAAAGGCTGGATGGATGAGGAGATGATGAAAGCGTAGCTGAGGCAGGTGTAGCCTATGTGAGGAGACCAGGTGGTTTTTTCCACGCATCACCATCGTGGCGTGCCCATCTCACAGCCGATGTGAAAAAAAAGGTGAATCAAATGGATACTGTGCTCGCCGTTATCCCGGGGGTCTGACAAAGGAGCTTCAACCGCTCGACATCAGTGTGAAGCGGCCGTTCAAAGTAAGGCTGCGAGCGGCGTGGGAGCGATGGATGACCGACAGAGACCACAGTTTCAGGATAAGTGGAAGGCAGCGCCGGGCAAGTTACGCCACAGTTTGCGGATGGATTGTAGATGGACTAACGTGTCTGCTGGCTCTGTTGTACAAGCTTTTGCAAAAGCCGGCATTATTTCTGAGGAGCCGCGCTGCACGGAAAGTGACTGACAGCGAAGAAGGGGAAATTGGCATGTCTGATTTAGTGCAGCTGTTTTATTCAGAAACAGAGGATGATGACTTTGATGGGTTTGATTAATACTTTGTAATAAATACATGAATAAAGCACAATCATACTCAGTTTTGCTCCCGCTCTATTTTTCTACCTGAAAACTTAATTCAACAGCAGCCTCTGGGCGGGTCTCCTCCTCTTCACCGCGGTGGCTGGCAGGTGTTTTTTCATCTAAATAATCTAAATCTTGCAGCTATATTTGCTGTGATCAGTGGGAATTAAGTAGTTTTATTATGTTTTTAAGTGAGAAAGTCCACCTGAAAACTTAATAATTGCAGTCAGTTCATCCAGATTATCTATTTCTGTCGGAGGCGCTCAGACCCCCACATACCAGCGGTGCGCCGACAGGAGAAATCCCTTCATCAGCAGCCTCTAGGCTGGGCAGCCTCCGGGTTCACGCGGTGGATGGCAGGTGTTTTTCATCTAAATAATTTAAACTGCAGGCACCAGGATACCGGTAATAAAAGCGAACATATTCCGTCGGCAGGTTTCAGGATTTTAAGTTAATTTAGGAGTGATCACAGCGCTGTGTCATCTGCGATGTGTCTGTCTCACGGCCAGCTGCCAGGTTTGATTAATACTTTTTAATAAATACATGAATAAAGCACCGTCATACTCAGTTTTGCCCCCGCTCTATTTTTAAATACGCAGTAGAGGTATTTAAAGGTAGTAGAGGACATGTACCTGTATATAAAAAACGCGCCCTATAGTCCGGTGCGCCTTATGTGTGTGTTAAATACAGAAATGGGACACATAACTGAGACTGCGCCTTTTAGTACGGTGCGCCTTATGGTCGTGAAAATACGGTAGGATGCAGTAGCTACTATCCTGTTCAACGATGTGACAAAAAATAAGTGAAGTTTGGTCGAGGACTATTATTGACTGTCCTTGCTGTTATCCTCTATTTTTGACCCACTTAGTTTATTTTTACACTCAACAAAACCATGGTTAAAACTCTGTAACCCGTCTAGTAATGTATCAAGGAGATGTAACTTCTTTTGATCATGTACAAATAGAACAGTTTAAGCGCATACTGTACTATTTCAACTACAAAGTTGCATTATATCAACTACATAGTAATCAGTGCTGTAAAAATATTCTAATGCATTAAGAACACCCAATCTCTTAACTCAATAAACAGAAGGCAGAGCAGGGTCTTAACTAAATGCATTGATGTTCAACATTAAGTTTCATGCAGCACAGAGCACCCCAGAAATACAGTATATTAACTAAAAACCTAGACATATTTTTTTTGTCATGATCTTGGCGCTGATGACTGGTCTGATTACTCATTTTACACACCTGCTTATCAACGCCCAGTTCACATTACTGTTCATCTGATCCACCTGCTCCAGTCTCTATTTAACCAGCCTTCAACCAGTACTCAGTGCCAGATTACTTGAGCCTTTGGTGAGGGTTCTCTAGCAAACCTGAGTGTTTCTGATTACCTGATCCTGACTTGTTCTGCATCTGGACCTCTGAGCATGCCTTTTCCCATTCTGATCTGTTTTCCCTGATCTATCCTCGTACTCCTGCTGGATTTCTGCCTATGCACCGAACCTGGAACTGATTACTGATTCCATCCTGGATTTTGGTACCTCTTTGTGTCTTTGATCTCCTGGCTCTGACTCCCAACCTGTCAGAGGCTTGAACCAACCTCATTCTCTGTGGATGGACTAAACTTAAAGACCAGGTTAGTGACTCACATGTTCATTATCATCCTCTTTCAGATAGATGTGGTCACTGCCTTAGACGCTGACACTGTTCTCTGGAGTTCTATTGTAAATAAACGTTTTGTTAAACCTGTTTTTCCGCCACGAATATTGGGTCCTTTTGTTCCGAGCTTGACATTCTTCCTTGTTTGTTTAACCAAACCCACTCCAGTGTGTTGCACTAAACAATTAAACAAAACCTAAAAAGCCATTCAAAGCAAGGCAGTCTCCTGTTACTTAAATAGCACAACCAAGCACTGACCCTTAAAATGGAAGCCTAATCCCTTCGGTCACTCAAATGATCAAGTCATCATCAAAGGTGGTAGGATTTGGCTATAAACACTAGTATCTATGTGTATCCAGTCTTACACCAGGTGCAAATTATTTAGGCCGAATTGTTCCCTTTTTTAACTTCATAATATTTCCGTCTTTTGTTTCCAGATTTGAATTTGAAAAAGGGTTATCAAATTGACTCAAACTCTTCTCAACTCTTTTGCAAATGTTTGATTCCTTCTAACGGGGAAAATGTTTATGTAATTACTCCTTTTGCTTGACTCTGTACATCAAAGTTCTTCAACAGAACAAATTATTCTTTAAACAGCACTTTCTGTAATGGATTGCAGCCCTGGTAGCTGATCTGATTACTCACTTCATTCACCTGCCATTCCCTTCCCGCTCTCTAATTATCATTCATCTCATTCACCTGTTCCCAGCCCAGCTATTGGGGCCAGATCATTATTTGTGTTATGTATTTGTGTTATTTATCATTGTTTTCTCTGTGTCGTTTAGTTTTTGTTTAGTCCTTGGTTCATGTTCCCCCCCTGAAGGCCAGTGGATTGAGAGGATCTGGTGTTTGTCTCTTCTCTTCGGATCGTGTTCTGGCTTTTCTCCGCTGAGCCTTCAGGGTTTGGGTTCGGTGTGCGGTGGGAGCTTGGGTTCTGGCCTTTCTCCGCGGAGCCCTAATGGTTTTGGCTTGGAGTGCGGGAAAGGCTGGTTTTATTTCCCGTAATCCTGGCTCCTAGGAGGAGTACAGTTTTAGGTTCTACACCTGAGCATGTCTGTCTGAGCTCTCTGCTCATTGGACTCATGGTCTTATTGGAACTTTGAACCTGCTTGAACGCTCTGTCGATTCCTGGAACTCTGGATCTGTCTGTTCCTGTTTGGATTGGAACCCCTGGGCGGGCTACATACTCCTGGATCTCAGAAAGGTCCTGTTCTGAACTGTTTCCCTAACCTGGATAGGTCTCCTGCCTGCTCACTGGGGTTGCTGCATGGGGACACTCTGGAACACTCAGCTCTACATCTCACTGGCAGTGCATCAGCTGATCCTGCTTTTGATGAGAAGTCGGACTGAACTTTTAAACCAGGTTAGTGACTCACACGGATAATCATCTTATGTCAGATTATTGTGGTCCCTTACCTGTGGTTCTCCCATATCCAGAGTGCCAGTGATGAGCGATTCTCCGCCTTGCTGCTGCAGTAGCTGCAGGTCTGCTGATCCACAGCAGTCTCTTTCTGTTCCATCTCATTACTTTGTCATTAAAAGTTTTGAAACCTCCGACTATTTGACTCGCCTTGAATACTGGGTTCATCTGTCCCATTTTATGACGCTTTCAGAAAGACCAGAAACTTTTATTTGAGCAACAATAAATCCACACACTTCAACAAGCAACTTCTTTGTGGTTATAGAGGGAACCTGTGATATAGATGCAGAAGTAGATGGCTGATCACTTAATAGTTGTCCTTGAGAATGAGTTTCCTTGAAAACTTCCTGTTGTGTCTCTAGTTAGCTGGGCCTGCTATGTACACTGTGAAGATGTTTTCTGTATCCCTGCTTTTCATAATTTAAATGCTACATTTCTGCTGCATATAAACCATGATTAAAGTTTACAGTTGAAACAAAGCTGAACAACTCTTGTGGCCCATTTTACAAGAAAAACATTTGAGCACTGTCAAACATTTTTTTCATCTCTCCTATATTCTTGTGGATCTTGAGGAACTTTAATGCTGTCTCAGTTCCTTGACTTGTGGGCTGTCGTTTGCAATCCAAAACCAATGCTATGGTTTGAATGACAGTGTAAAAACTGTAAAAAGCTTCATCATATGAGAGACTGGAGACAAAGTGTATTTTGAAAAGCCCATCAAAAGCATCCACTGACGTTGGAGCATCACAGGGGACAGCTTTCTGTTCCACAGCAATGAAGAACCTCTGAATGTTTTTCTTTTTCTCGCCAATACAGAGAAGGGAGGGTTGACTAGTTTTCACTTTCTCAACAAAAGTAGTGAAGCTGATTCTTTCCTGAAATTAAAATTCAATATTTTAGTAATGGGTAATTTGTTTTTGTGTTTTCAATAGTTTTGTAGACATAAGTCAACTAAGGGCCCAGACAACTAACTTAACACAAAAGTTTACGGACAAACCTACTTTATTTTTTTTTAAGTATAAACTATTTTGTTTGTATTTAAAATGAGTATGCACTGACCCCAAATTTGTCGACTTACCTCCTTTGGAAAGCAAAGCTTTACATATTTTGTCTCTCTCAATCTTATACTTGAAAACAGCATGATAAAAGGTAAAATGCTTTTTTATTGTATGACATTTCATTTTTGCAAACAAGTGCTGTATTATAAAAAAATAAATAACACTGATTCTTGGGAATTTGGATAAAACAGGTTTTAATTTTGAAAATAAAAAGTTAGTTGGATTACAAAATCTGAAGGTATATTGTTATAGACCAAGGTCTTGGCTGTTCAGCAGTGTACAGGTGCAACCTCCTCATTTTGTATTTCTTTCATAAAATAGGCATTTTTCCAGTTATTACTTTGTTTTTGTCAACACCATCAGACACAATAAAAAGCTAATTATTTTTTATTTATTTGGTCTAATAAGTATTTAGAGTTTTTAAATCTTTATCTGGCATTGTTAGCACACATTTATGCTGTTAAATGTTGAATAATCATTTTTGTTAATTTTTTTTAACTGTATCATGTGTAGTCCTTTAAAATATCTAACATCAGATAACGTTTACTTTAAGCCTAAATAGAAAAAGTCATGTTTTTTTATTTAACAAACATATTTTTGTATTAAAAGAGACCATTACTTTAATGAGAGAACAGCACTGAAGAAACATATTGCAAGCATATTAATTTAAAACGAATAAAAAGCCCTCTGACGGTGGTGACTTTAGAACTGACGATGGTGACAGTGGCCTCATTTCAACATACAATTCCAAACTGTATACAATTCAAGTCAATGGTTTCTTGCTTATTAACTTTATTTAACTATTTGGTCCAAAAAATAACAATCATGAGCACTGTGACAAATATTTTTCAAGGAATATAAGGTACAATTAAGAAATATCATTGTCAGTCAGAATCATTCTCTGATGCTTTATTTTCTTGCGTGTGATTGTGTCCTGTTTGTCAGTTGTCATTCGTGCTGCATTATGGTAGAAATTTTGAACCTTCTGAGTAATTGCTTGAATATATGTAGGTTTTTTGTCAGTAGGCCTTCACACTTCTTTTGATATTCCCTGTTTCTTTTCCTTCTTTCCTTCACAGATAGCTGCTTCCTAGCCATAACTTCCTAAAATACATAAAGTCAAAGTTGAGTGTAATGACTATGAAATTGGGGGGAATTACAGTAAATGTTAGATTTGGTTAAATGTTGCCCTGCCATAGCTTACAAGGAATATTGTATACTATGTGCTATGTAGGTAGGTAGTAGGTGCACTATGTGCATCCCAAATGATGTAAACCAAATGAACATGGCATAATAGTGAATTGAGAGACAGGGAAGGCACACCCCATCCCCTAGCAATATGTAAGAAATCTAGGCGGAATTACATAAATAAAAATATAAAAGAGGTTAATGAAACATTACAGATCAACAATTATTTTCTAGCCTCCATTGAGAACCATTTGTAGTTTTTTGTCACCACCGTCAGACTGTGCGTCACCACCGTCAGACAGAAAATCTGACGGTGGTGACGTCTGACGGTGGTGACAAAATCCTACTCTTTCACATGATATGCATGAGTTGTTCACATTAGCCATCTTGTTTCCCCTCTGTTGCTAGCTACTTTAGACCTCTTCTTAAAAAGTAAACATTTATGTCATAATCTAATCTAATATTTTTTATACAAAAGAGACGGTGTTGACATGTTATGGTTGTGACATTAGCAGTGTCCAAAAAATATGAACAAGTTTAAGAGAAAATAGCAAACCTACAGGAGCTTGAGTGACCTTAAGGCATCCAGTAGAGCTGAAGATTTGAAAATGGGGTCCTCAGGCATGTAGTTGACCTTTTAGTTGCCTGATTTTATTGCTTTTTATAAATATCTGACGGTGGTGACAAATATGTGGGACACATTTTGAACAATCACAAAATAATGGTTATTATTGTTCAAAACTCACTGTTTGTAGTTTTAAATACATATTAAAATGTACCCTTTCATTTGGTAAAGATATTATTCAATTCAATTATTACTTTTTGTTTTTTTAATCAAGTTGAAATGATTATCTCCTATCCAAGGACAACTGATTTTATAGGCAATGGGCCAGCATATAATCATTAAATTAACAATAAAATAAAAAAACTTTAAAAGAACCTTGCATTTGTGCAAAGGACCCCCTGATTATAACCTTGATTGTTTTTATTCATGAAAATTTTATTTCTTTCCAACAGAATTAGCACTTTTCTTAGTGGGACATGTTTTTGCCAAAGTTTCAAGAATCAGTGATAAGTAATAACCAAAAGTGTTAAGGCTGCATTCCTTGACAAATCTTACAAGCCTATTTGCTGCCTGCATGGAGCTAAACTTTGTTGTTTTTTGTGGTCTCTTGATGTGAAACAACAGAAGAGCTGCATCATCACTATTCCAGCCTTAGAGACAAATAGCACATTTAAAGAAAGGGTTAAAATTTAAATAGAAAATATCTTATAATTCAGTTAAACAGATCAAGACATTTTAGGGCTTATCCAAAAAACAAATATATAAAAAGTACTTTACATGCATTTGCTTGCAGTTTATTGTATTCCCAGAGAAAAAGGCTAGTATGATTATTTAATATACTAAAAAACTGCTAGATTATCAGGAGTTAAGGGTCCTCCTGGAGAATTTCTCCTTCAGTGCTCTCTAGTTTTCAACAGCTCCCACCAGTCTATTCCCTTTGAAAAAAACAAGATAACCTACATTAATGGATTATCAAATGGCAGAGCTGGGCTGATGCTAATTTCTAGAATTTCAGAGGAACTTTTCAAGAATTTGTTTGTGAATTTATAGAGACAAAGGTTGGTAAATTGGTCATGACTCTGATTCAGTTTCTCATTCCAAAGGATTATGGAACCCAAGACAGGGTCGGAAAACAGTAGAGGAATTATATTTTGAGTTTTGGTCTATGGCTGCAGCACTGGTCAGACTGGGTTTCAAATAGTGTGTTCTTTCATGCCTGCAGCAATTCAGCATTCACTTCATTGGTCTGACAGGAAGAGAAAGAAATGACTGCAAAGTAAAATACTTTGTTTGAAAAATGAATAAATCTGAATCACAAGAGAAAAGTCGGTTTTGCCCCATTTTGAATCACACAGGGGCAAGGGCAAACCTGAAGATTTCAATCAACAGATAACCCTACCCATAATAGGAGAATGACTGAATAGAGTAAAATAGTGATCCTCTTTAAGCTTCAATAAGACAAGAGAACGAGAGACAAAGGAAACTGCAGCTTATTACACTCTTCTCTTTCTAGAAAGAAAAACTGATCTCAACAAACTTCAAGGATTGGATAGAGGATCATATGGAGCCTCACTCTATGCGCTGCATCCAGTGTTAGATGGAAAAAAAAAAATTGCTTTGGAGACTAAAAATTTGGATGAAACCGGTGTGAACCGGACCATAAACTCTTTCATGGCCTGCCTGCCCAGCGTTATAAAGGGGCTTTATCTCTTTGTCCTACTGGCCCCGTTCTCCCACAGATCTCGTATTAACAACCCCCAACTCCACTCGCCTCTCACTGCTGAAAACCAAAGACTAAAATTAAGATAACTGCTTGTTGTCTCATTTACCCATCCATTCCCGATCTCATACTTCTCTTTGTTTTCAGATCGCCTGCTTATTCCATAAGTTATAGGAGTTCAGATTGCTGTTTTTTTCCACAGGAAGCTGTTGCATATTAGCTCTCACCTCACAAACAAATGTTTTTTTTTTCAAATATAAAATAATTGATCTGGTTTCTGCCTGAGAGTGTGTCTTTATGTGGGTCAGACACTTAAAACAAAGAGATGACAGAGACACAGTCTTTACTTAGTAAAGTCTTGAGTTTTGAGTTTAAATGTGAAAAAAAGTCTTCCAGAGACTTCATCCTCAAACTTAATTTAAATAGATTAATCTTCTGAAATAAAAAAAAAACAGTAACCAAATTCTTGTTACTTGTTTTTTTTACCCTTTTTTAACATTAGTGCTTTAATACAAAAATATATCCAGGAATACACTCACCAACCCAGGTGTATCAAGGATATGTGGGGAGACATCCAAGTCTGATGATATTGCATCCGGGTCATGAACCAGCTTCTGTCTATATTCAAAAGTGGCTCTTATCTTCTCTTTAACCACAGGCTTATCTGTTGCGTGTCTGAGGACAGACAGTACCTCTCTACGTCTCACCAAGAAACTGCTCAC